TTTTTTGGGGGGGGGATTTTGGGGGAATTTTTTTAATTTTGGGGGGATTTTGGGTGTTTTTGGGAATTTTTGGGAATTTTGGGGGGATTTTGGGCATTTTTTAAGGATTTTGCTGCTTTTTTGGTTTTTTTGGGATTTATTTTTGATTTTTTGGGGGATTTTTGAGGGATTTTGGGAGTTTTTTTTTAATTTTTGGGGGGTTTTGGGGGGATTTTAGAATTTTGGGGATTTTTTTGGGTTTTCTTTCAGGTTTTTTTTTTGGGATTTTTTTAATTTTTGGGGGGTTTTGGGGGCATTTTAGAATTTTGGGGATTTTTTTGGGTTTTCTTTCAGGTTTTTTTTGGGATTTGGGGCATTTTTTTGGTTTTATTTTTGGGGAATTTGGGGGGATTTTTTTGGTTTTTGGAGAGATTTTGAGGGGATTTTTGAAGTTTTGGGAGATTTGGGGTTTTTGGGATTTTTTTGGGGTTTATTTTTGATTTTTTTCAGGAGATTTTGGGAGGATTTTTTAATTTTTGGGGTTTTTTGGGGGGATTTTTGGGGAATTTTTAAGGGATTTTTGGGTTTTTTGGAGGGTTTTTCTCGGGATATTTTTTGGGATTTTTTTATTTTGGGGGGATTTTTGGGGGCATTTTGGGATTTTGGGAATTTTTGGGCATTTTTGGAGGTTTGGGGGAATTACTGAGGAGAATTTGGGGGATTTTTGGGGATATTTTTTTTAATTTTTGGTGATTTTTGGGGTTTTTTGGGGTTTTATTTTTGATTTTTGGGGAGATTTTTGGGGATTTTTTGGGGGGATTTTGGGGGGATTTTGGTGATTTTTGGGGGATTTTTTGGGGTTTTTTGGGGGGTTTTTCTTGGGATTTTTGGGGAATTTTGGTAATTTTTGGGGTTTTTTGGAATTTTTGGGGGTTTATTTTTGATTTTTCGGGGGATTTTGGGGGATTTTTTGGGGTTTTTTTGGGATTTTGTTTTGTTTTTTGGGGGATTTTGGGGGGATTTGGGGATTTTTTAGGATTTTTGGGGGATTTTTTTGGGTTTTTTCTTGAGATTTTTGGTGATTTTGGGGAATTTTTTGGGATTTTTGGGGGATTTTGGGAGGATTTGGGGTTTTTGGGGATTTTTTTGGGGGGTTATTTTTGATTTTTTTGGGGATTTTTGGGGAATTTGGGGAAATTTGGGGGGATTTTGGGGCTATTTGGAATTTCAGAGGGATTTTGGGGCGGGGGAATTTCGGGATTTTTTGAGGAATTTTTGGGGGATTTTTGGGGGGCCTTTTGGGGGATTTTGGGGGATTTTTTGGGGGGGTTTATTTTTGATTTTTTGGGGGAATTTTGAGGGTTTTTTTTTTAATTTTTGGGGGATTTTGGGGGAACTTTGGGATTTTTAAGGAATTTTTGGGAATTTTTGGGGGATTTTGGGGGTTTTTAGGATTTTTTGGGGGGATTTTGGGGCATTTTTAAGGAATTTTGGGATTTTTTGGGGGGAATTTTGGTGGAATTTTTTGGTTTTTTAGGAATTTTTGGGGGATTTTTTTGGGGAATTTGGGGAGGATTTCACAATTCGTGGAATTTTGGGGAAATTCTGGGGAATTTCAGGGCGAATTTGGGGATTTTTTTTCATTTTTAGGTGAATTTTTGGGGAGATTTTGGGATTTTTTGGGGGATTTTTGGCGATTTTCGGGATTTTTTGGGGGAATTTCGGGCGATTTCGGGATTTTTTGGGGCATTTAGGGAGTTTGGGGCAATTTTGGGGGGATTTTGATGAATTTTCTCTCCATTTTTGTCCTTTGGGGACGATCTGGGCTCATTTCGCTCCGATTTTGGGCCAATTTTGGTCATTTTTGGTCATTTTTGGTCATTTTTGGCCATTTTTGATCATCTTTCATCATTTTTTCACTTTTAACTCAATTTTTTGTCATTTTCTCTCTATTTTTTTCCCTTTTCTCTCACTTCACGCCAGATTTTGCCAATTTTAGGTCAAAT